GCAGTACCATAATCGAGTCTAGGGGTCAGGTGTAACATTTCAGTTTTGCCCATCTGTCTCCAAGGTCCAGGGCAATATCAGAATTTAGTCCGATTCAGGATTTCAAGAAAACCCACACTGCATGTACCTCAGGTCTCACCCTGGCAGCTGAGACAAGCCACCCCAACCAACTTGGCGGCACATCAGTGTCAACCTTGGCAGAATAAATCTCCCTAGATCTAACACGAGTTTCATATGTGTCCAGTTTAAGGGTATTACACAGAAACAAACCACAATAACATGAATCAAATATGCACTTTATTAATTTACAATAAATGTCATAATGTACATCATGCTGATGGGAGCTAAGGGCATACACTGTCTAACATGATCACTATTCATAGGGGTTCCACAGATCATGAGTGACACCTAGTAGTATGTCATAACCACCCTAATAGTTTGAATTTGGCAGATTGAATCTTTCCATCTATAGTCACCATGCAGTCGGGTCCATACAATGCCCTGAAAGAGCAAAGGGCCATGGTACTGGTTCAACCATATGTCTCATTGACTTGATGATGACTTATATGGTGACACTTGGAATCCTTTCCATAAATCATATTGCCTTGACCAAGGGTTTCTTGAGTCACACCAATCTTATTTGCATAGGACATACTCCCTCATGGAGAGTGATACGTTCCATTTTGTGCATTCACATACTTCCATGCATAAGACACTATAGCTGACATGTGCACAAGGTTCAAAATTTCGATACGATATGCCCTGTATAGTGTATCGGGAACTGTCTGAAACCCCAAATAAGGGGTGTTTCGGACTTTGACTATTTTCAGGGGGTAGGCATGCTAATAAAGTAGTGAAACATCCAATATGCCTGTTCGTGCATATCAATACTTTAAACCATGCATGTGCTTGCTTAAATTCCTTGGTTGGGGCATAAGTGTTTGCACCATTAAATTGTAGCACCTCATACACAAGATATCCATGATGCCTCAGGTCTAAGAGTCATCTATATGACTATGATGATAGAATCAGTTGTTGACAATAAACTCATGTAACTATTCTACTAATGGGTCAAGTTTAGTGAACTTGTTCTCTAACAAGCACCCACATATTTGTTTTAGTGTCTCCACACAAGTGACTTGAGATTCATCACCCCTTAAGGCAAGCATAATATGTGTCTATGTGTTCAGATTATCAAAACCCTCTTGATAATCTTATGACTGAAAACTATTTTAGGATCTTGTACCAAGGACAAGCATATCTCAAATTCTTAATACAATTAAGAACATACCAACTTGATAAACTTGACAAAGATAATATGGACTATTCATGTAATTATAAACAAAAAGACATGGATGAAAGCTGCCCAATTTGTATTAAAGTATGAATAGTACAAGATTTCCCTTTTACACTATCACTAGATTAGTTTTAGGGCATATGACTAACAACAACATCCTTCATATTGATAACATAATGCTCTAACCAATTTAAATAACATGGTTTTATTTCTTTCAGAACTTAAAATTTGTATATTGGTACCTATCTTTCTGCTACTGCCTATTGTTGCATATTAAGTCTTTCTTTTCTTCATAAGTGGCTCCTCATTTCTTTCAGGCATATGCTTCCTTGCACCTTGCTTGTTACTTGATTTTAGAACACTGCATCTATAATTTTGTATTTTCATTGTTCCATCAACATTGTAAACGAAGCAAACTATTTGATATATTTCATGTACTTGCATCATTTTCTTTCTGCACCTTGTTTTATTAGTCTATTATATGGTCCTTTTTCTTGGGTCCAAAGTTCAACATTTTTCACACTGTATACACAGGAAAAGCCCCATATGTTCCAATTTGTTCCAAATGAAAGACAGGTAAATACAGAAGTCACCTTTTGGTTTATCTTTTTTTTTTTTTTTTCCTTTATAGGAAACGGTAACTTTCATTAAGAAATTAACAAGATATTACAACTCCAGCATTCCTAAGCTGAAATGCTGAACCCACATTCATAACCATTGTTACAAAGCAACCCAGAAAAGTTCACTCCTGTTTGATCCTTGTTTGTCTAGAGCATCACCCAGGCCATTTGCCTGTGGTTCCAGATTTCATCCAGTTACTAATCATGAATCCCCTTCCACTTCAATCTGGTGTAGTCCCATCTGTTTAGCCAGTCTCAGACCTTGCAGCAGTGCTAACACCTCAACTCTTAACGAATCACCCACTCCTATAGGCCCCGAAAAAAGAGTCAGAATTTTGCCTTCACTGTCTCTAAAGACTCCTACACCTGAGGGACCTGGTTACCAAGGGAACTTCAATCAAAATCACCCATTCCTGAGGGCCCGGGGTTTATCTTTTTTTTCCTAATCAATAATAGAAGATTTCATTAATGATTAAAAAGGAGGAAAAGATATAAACAAGAGGAGAGGTAAACTTTCTTAACTCTCCTCAATTAAAACTTAAAACATTACAATTGAGCCCAAAACATTTGACTTCTTCCCACCCTTTGTTTTGCTAGATCATCAGCGAAGGCATTAATAGTTCTTTTAACCCAACTAAGTCTCACATCCATATTTTGTGTCAGCCACTTTAATTTCTTCCTCTCTATTGAAAATCTAAAATCCAGTTTCTTCCTTTTGTAGCCAGTCCAATACTAGCTTTGAATCACCTTCTATAATCAGCTTATTTAAGTTCATTTCCTTTTCCTTTTGCACTCCCTCCATAACAGCCATAATCTCAGCCCTTAAAGAGTCACCTACACCAATTGGACTTGTCAATAATTCTGCCTTCACCGTTTCTAAAAATACCTCCAATACCAGAAGGACCTGGGTTACCTACACTACTCCCATCAATGTTTAGCTTGATGTAATCATTAGCTGGTGGAAATGAAAGGGGGCTTGTAGTGATTTTGTGATGATCTGAACAAGCCACTTCCTTTCAGTTTTTCATAAAGTCATCTGTTGAGAAATCATCAAATAGCTCCAAAGACTTCACCCAATGAACCACTCTAATCATGATGGTCTTTATTATTGCCTCTCTGCTTCTTTCCTTATTTGAAAAAATTCTTGAATTCCTTTCTTCTTATATGGTCCAGCTCAATGCAGCCCTTAAGCACTTCCACAAAACTCTTCCCCTTTTCTTTGGCCACCTAAAGAAAGTAGAGGCAAATGAACTTTGCACATTAGGCAGGGGAGTCCACCTATGTCTGAATTTCAAGAAAAGTCCACCTATGCAAGCTTCTCCATCCTTGCATACAACACACCAATGTGGGGATAAGCACCAGTTAGGTCTTTTTTTTTGAAGTAGATCAAAAGTATTTATTCTTTTTAAGAAAACTTTCCAATAGAAACTTTTAATTCTTGGAGAAATAGGTTTGCTCCAAACCTCCTTTACAAGAAAAGGATGCCCCAAACTATTAAAGGGTTTAATTAGGGCTTTGAAGAACGAAGCATAAGAAAAGGCACCAAAGGAGGAGAGGGTCCAAATACGACTATCAGATTTAGTCCAAAAATTCCCATCAAAGATGCGAAACAAATCCAAAACACAATTTAATTCCGGACCCCTTACTTCTCAAACCCAAATCCCAATCAAAACTATTTCTTGAATTTGAAGGAACAAGGAAAGTATAGACAACCTCATCTTTGTATCTTGAAAGGGCAAACAACGAAGGAAATATGTCTTTCAAAGGAATTTATAAGGTTTCCAGAGCACAGATCATACCTGACAAAAGGCAGGAAAGAAGGCAAAATAGCATGGATGGCCTTCCAAGGGGAAGCTCTAGCAGCCTTAGTCGGTATACCAGCATCCCATCCATTAATAATAAGCCCATGAATGTTTATCCACAAGTAGTTTCCATAGCCACTTCACCAATAATGCCATATTCCTTTTTTTATAAATTACCTATGCCTAGACCACCAAACTCCTTACTTTCTACTAACCACTTCCCATCTACCTCTATGGTCCTTTCTCTCCTCCCTGGCTCCCATAGAAAGTCCCTCATCAACTTTTCCAATTTTCTTCCCCCACTCTCCAGCATCTTAAAAATAGACATGTAATAAACAGTCATGTTAGATAACTCTGATGAGTGTAGGAACAAGAACTCTGATGAATAACTCCAAAGGTATCAAAGTAATGGAAAGGCTCTTCTCAAAATATTCCTTTGCATTATCAGATCGGAATATTTTGATCCGAGTGTTAAACTGGGTAAGTATAAGTTCATGAAATTTTTGTACAATATTTGGTACATCATCCCGGGATTTCACAAGGTAAATCCAAGTGTAACAAGAGAAATAATCAATGAAAAGAATGAAATATTTGTTACCCCCCATAGCAGGTAAATGATATGGCCCTCACACATCAGAGTGCACAATATGGAAAGGAGAAACAAATCTTTTATTACGCACTGAAAAAGATTGTCTACAATGTTTTGCAAGTTCACATGACTCACAATGAAGATTGAAGACTCGATAGGGATATTTCCTTAAACATTTTTGGAAACAAATAACTCAAAGCTGAAAAAGACAAATGGCCAAATCTTAAATGACATGTCATGACTCTATCAACTGACTCTGATGAAACAGACTCCAAAGCTACTCCACTAGGTAATCCAGGACTTTGATCAGAGACATCCAGCAAATATATTCCATTCGCCTCATGGCCACTACCAATCGCCCTTTGAGATTTCAAGTCTTGAAAAACATAATAAGTAGGAAAGAAGGTTATGCTACAGTTCATTGGTTTTGTTAAAGTACTAACAGATAAAATGTTAGTGTTAAGTTTGGGAACATGAAGGATAGAGGATAATACAAGTGAGTTAGAGGCTCTAATATCCCCCTTGTTAGAGATGGGAGCAAGAGACCCATCAACAAGAGAAATCTTCTCTTTACCAGAGAGGAGCTGGTATGAACAAAAAAGGTTAGGTATGCTAGTCATATGGTCTGATGCACCATTATCTATGATCCAAGGAATTCTATGATTATTTGAGGCTGTAGCATGATTTGCAGAAGCACGAATACCTGAATGGGTAAAAGCGGATGTAGAGGTGGTGCTTGAGGAGGAAGTTGCAACAGTAGACTCCAAATGATTTATCAACTTCCCATATCTCTCAAACTCTGCCTTCACTATTGCCAGCTGTTCCACAGTAGATTTTTCTTCACTTTTAGATACTGTAGCAACATTTGCATTATTGGGATTTCCAAACTAACCACCTTTCTTAAAGTTGTTGTTCCGAAACCTCGCTAGAAGAAGATTTGGATGAAGTTTCTAACTAGAATCCTTCGTATGTTTCGGCTTCTTGCAATATTCACATATCACCTCATTTTTTTCATTTACCCCCTTTGGTTTTATTCCAACATGTGCAAAATGTCAACACTCTTGACCGAATAGAGAAAAGAACAAGAATAATCTTAGAGGTGTCAAGAATGAATGACCCCCACCTCAAAGAGTCTCTTGTATATTAAAAGATATGTACAATTACAAGAATGCCCATATAGGGCTGAAAGAGAAAAGAAGAATAAAATGTAAAATTAATATACAACAGGGACTATACTAATAAGATACATCAAGTTATAGAGTCTCCACACTCCCCCTCAAACTGATGCCTAGACATAAGCATTAGTTTGTCTATAAGAAAGAGATGTCGAACTCTAGTCATATCTTTGGTGAAGATATCGGCAATCTGCATGTCCGAATACATGAGGAAGCGATATAGACCTAGTAGTGAAAAGATCTCGGATAAAGTGGCAGTCCACCTCGATGTGCTTGGTCCTTTCATGGAAGACAGGGTTAGATGCAAACTAGATAGCACTCGTATTGTCTGCATAGAGAGGAATAGGAGTAGGAAGCTGAATTCCAAGATCCATAAAGAGAGATCGTAACCAAACAATCTCACTGCAAACCGAAGGCATGGCCCTATACTCTGCTTCAGTGGAAGACTTGGAAACTGTTTGTTGTTTCTTACACTTAAATGAGATGAGTGAATCACCCATAAAAACACACCACCCAGAAGTGGACCTACGAGTGTCTGGACAACCAACCCAATCCACATTAGCGTATGCTCTCAACTGAATAGGAGAGGAGGAGAAAAACAGTCCCTGAAAAGTTGTGTTTCTAACATATCGAATGATGCGATGAACAACAATCATATGAGGCTGACGAGGAGTAGAAACAAATTGACTAACAACCTGAACAACATGAGAAATATCAGACCGAGTCATAGTGAGATAATGAAGGACCCCACAAGCTGGCGATACAAGGCAGCATCAGGAAGTAGAGGACCTTCAGATTTAGATAGCTTTAGATTTACCTCCATAGGTGTATCAACATGCTTTTCATCATTAAGACCAACAAGTTTAACAAGGTCAGAGGCATACTTTTGCTGACAAACAAAATACCCTCGATCACTATGATGTACTTCCAATCCCAGGAAATAGGTGAGAGGGCTTAAGTCCTTCATGTGAAAGGAATTATGAAGTAATAGTTTCAATTCACGAATGCCCTCAACATCATTCCTAGTCAACAACATGTCATCAACATATAGTAGGAGAATGGTAATACCCTGAGGCCGTCGCCTAACAAAGAGAGAGTGATCGGAAGAACTTTGGCTATATCCAGCAACAACTACAACATCGCAAAAGCATTCAAACGATGCCCGGGGAGCTTGTCTTAGACCATATAAAGATTTTGAGGCAACATACTAAAGAAGGATCATTGTAGTATCCAAGAGGAGGCTTCATGTAGACCGTCTCCTTCAACTGACCATGAAGAAAGGCATTCTTTACATCAAGCTGGCATATAGTTCAAGACTGAATGGCAGACACTGCTAAAAGAACACGGACTGTGGTGACCTTTGCAACAGTAGTAAATGTTTCTTCATAGT